ATCCTTTAATAAAATTCTAAAAGTTTATTTTAAATATACACTATTATTTGAAGTAATAATTATTTGTAAACCCTTCAAAGCTCTCCCTAAAGTATCAAATAAAAGCTAAATCTCTTTGTTAATTTTGCGTTAATACTAATTTTTAATTGTTAGTATTGTAAGATAACAATTTGGTATGGGTTGGGTGGAATAAAAACTAATCTGACAAATCAAACGTATACGAAAGACACTTAGACAATTAACAGTAGCTGTAGGACCTATTCTCTTCCAACTTCAGCTGCAGGTTGCTGAGATTCAATTTTAGTATAAATCATTAGAGAATGAAGAAGTTATTTCAATCAATCATCTTAAACGTTTACAAAGCAACATCAACAATCTAAAACATTTTATTGAATTTCATAAGATTAAGGTCACGTGGGATGAATAGCTATTTAGTAATAACTACTTTGATAACGAATCTCAATAAATCTGAAAGAATCTAGCACTGACTATATCACTGAAAAATAATACCTACTAACCGTCTGATAATACATAGCTACTTATAAGAAACTTAAAAATTATAAAATCTCATTTATTACCCATTTAGATCAATTCTGCCTACAGTATCATCCAGACTATGAAACTCAATCAGGAAAACTACTATCTTTTGATAATTTTTGGTTTCTGTGGATTGCATTTAAATATAATGCTGTATTATACACTACCTTTACTGTAGCATATTTTATAAGGACCCAAGAGAGTGAGGCTAGTTTTTTGAAAAGAGATCTCTTATTGAAATATTTGTTGAGAAAAATTGTTACTATAATTAGATATAGGAATAACATACTAAAGGAATCCTTTGATAGCATCGCTGATAAATTATATCAAATTTAGGTAAAAACAAAACAGTTTCAATCGTAGGAAATTGAAAGTATTAGCAGTACTGACTCAATTATAAACAGCAATTGTAGTGATACCTCAGAAAATATGGAAAGAGATCAAAATAATATTATCATAGCATCTTTTCAGGGAAGCAATGAAAGTTCCTTAGGAATGACACTGCCAGTAGTAATGTATGGATCACTATCAGGAACTACCACACCTCAACTACCATTTAATATACCATCGTATATACAACTACGATAACCATATCTGGGAGATAGGAGACAATATGACGAAGAAGAAAATGATATATATACCCCTGATTATAAACAAAATATCTTATTTGGATATGTTAATAACGATGATAAAACATTACAGGGAACATCTTTCTTTGACAATACAAATGAACTAGAGAGAGAAGGAATCCCAAGTAGAATACCTCGAAGAGTTACATTTAATACAAGAAATGATAGGAGATCTCCATCCCCTGTTAGGGTAGAAAATATTCAACAATTAGTAGCCTCAACATTATCTAGTAATCAATCGTCAAGGCCATCAAATTTAAGGGTAACAACTCCATCAATAAGAAATACAAATAGTGGATCATTATTGGGAAATCCCTACAATTTTTCTCAAGCAACTTAATATAGTCGTATGTTTGACCCCTTGGCACCACTTGATCCTCTCTGAAATAGTAACTCATCTACAACCTCTAGTTTTACAACCACAAATTGGCAACCAGTGAATAACCGTTGGCTTGAAAGTAACTCAAATAACAGAAGAAATAACACAAAATATAACTACTAAAGGAATCCCACAGTCAACAATAGTAGCCCAACTATATAATATGCGACCACTATCAAACTCCTAGAGGTAGTTCTCGATTAACCAGCACAACAACTTCTCAGTCAGTACCTAGCAATCAACCGTCAAATAATATAAACATCTCTCAGCCAATACTTACACCTCAACCAGCTATAGTACCAGTAGGAGGAAACAATGACAATACCTACCTCCAAGTCATACAAGGGTTAGCAAGATGGCTTCAAGGACAACAAACGAGAAAACAATGATTGGTAGATTTACCAACACTTAAAGGAGGAAATCAGGATCCAGTGGAATGGCTTGAGGCTTTTGAACGAGCTTGTAAAGTAAACTGTATCAATACCACTTGAATGGTTGAAATAGTTCCCAGTTATTTAACAGGAACAGCACTGACATGGTTTCAATGACAATATGTTACCAACTGGAATAGTAGGATTAATCCCAGTACTTCCTTCATACCATTATTTGAACAACATTTCTGCAATGCATTTCGACAAAATCAATGGAAGCATCAGCTTAGGCATAGGATACAGAAACCAGGTGAAACAATTGAGGAATATGCGGTAGCAATAGAAGAATTATGGAAGCGAATCAACCACAGTATAGGCGAGCTGAGATGGATAGAGTTACTGAATTTATTGAAGGGCTGCGACCAGAATTTATGGTACCAGTACAAACAGCAATGCCAACAACAGTAGATCAAGCAATCGAAAAGGCCAGAGCAGTAGAATCTGCATATTCCATTGGAATGGAATTATCTGCCTATTCATTGATGCCTAATTACATGCAATTATTACAAGGAGGAATGGTACCAGTTCGCACAAGTATAGCAATGCAACCTACATATATTACACAGCAACCAGATATTGAAGGCATTATTAATCACAAATTGAATGAAGGGTTACAAGCGATTATGGCAAACATTGGGCAACAGCAGCAACAACAACAGCAGTAGCAACAGCCATAACAATGACCACGCGAATGTTTTAATTGTGGAAAATTTGGACACTTGTCTAAAGATTGTAGGAGTAATCGACGTATAAATAATGACTAATCAAATATTGAATGCTTTAACTGTGAGAAGTATGGCCATTTCGCCAGAGATTGCAGGAGTACAAACAATAATAGAGGTCGAAACTTCCAAAATAATAACAATAGAAATCGTAACTGCAGTAATAGCAGGAATAAGAATTATAAAAATAATAATAAAAATAATAACTACAATAATAACAGTAATAATAATAATAATAACCAACAGCATTTAAACTAGAAGTCGCACCTTTTAGGAGTGAGTGTGTGAACAAATCAAAGCCCCTAAAAGCGAAAGAAAAGGAAGAAGAAAAAGAGAATAATTAAGGTGAAGTAAAAATAAAAGCAAGTTTAATAGAAGTACCTTATGTATATAGAGGAATGAATTCAAAAATGCAATTCAGAGGACCATATAAAAACGAATATGATCACTCTAATTGTGGAGAATATGATCACTATAGCTATATTGTATGCATAAATTGTAATAAGATTGCTAAAGAAATAGCAGCACAATGCGAGTGTAAGGAAGTAAAATGGAAGGATCCACTAACTGATGAAAGGGTTTTCAGTAAAAATCAGCCAATTAAACCAGTAGATCTCTAACAATAAGGAGAAATTATTGTTAAAAAGAGGCTGAAGTATGTGTTAGGGATCTTATATGATGAAAAAGGAATCTATCTTTCAAAACGAATTGACCCAAATAAGAAAATGTATAACTTATGGCAAACAGTCAATGGAAAGGTTGAACTAGGAGAATCATTGATGAGAATTATGATTCGAGAAATCAACGAAGAAACTGGAATACAATTGGATGAAGATCGCTTAAAATACATCTTAAATGATCCTACATATAATTGTGACGTATATAAAGTAAAGCTAAATAAGGAAATACCTCAACATACTGAACCTACCAAACATAGCGATTGGCAACACTTTGAGTTTGATGAATACTTACAAATGGCTGGTCTAAATGAACTGACACCAACATATAATAAATATGGAGAACTTTTCATATCTAAATTAAAGGAACATATTGTTACTAGTAATATGACATGTGATGAACCTATCAAGGATGCATTGTTTATTGAAACCCAAGTAGAAGGATACCCTGTAAATGCTTTAGTAGATACTGGATCTATAAGAAGTATCATTACTCGGTGGTATCTTAAGCAAATCAATAAGAAAATTGATGAACCTGCAAAAACAAAAATCATGGGAGTGGATGGAAAAACCATGATGCTTTTAGGGATAATTAAAGGAGTTACAGTAGAAGTTAATGGAATAACTGTTAACGAAGATATGCTAGTAACCAATGCTATGAAATATAATATTATTTTAGAAAATACTTAGTTGCAAAAAGTTCATGCAATCATTGATTATGATACTGGCATTCTAGTCGTACAATAAGGAGATCAAACTTTTACGATGCCTATAACTTGTATGCAGAACATACATCTAGGAAGGTTTACACTAATCAAGCCTAAAATAACAGTAGATAAATTAGAATTTGAAGAGGAGGAAGATATTGATATTCAATAATGTTTTGCTATTATCCCCAAAGAAAAAGAGGAAGTAATCCAAATAAATGGAAAGGAATATCCTGAAATATACTTACAACAAATTGAATATGAAATGGATGTACAACAAAATAGAAATTAGACAGGATCGACTACATGTTGGTGTTTGAAAAATTTGGAAAATGAAGGCCAATGTGATGACTGTAGAGAAATTGTAAGGATAGTACAAACTTATCAATACTATAGAAATAGTATAGATCTACAAGCTGCCTATAAAGTTCAGATTGAAGAGAATGATATTCAGGTAGAAATTGGTAATGATTTAGGAAAATATACAACCTGTGGAAAATTAAAAGATGTTTCTTTGAAGCAACTAAAAGCATTTCTTGAGAAAAATCTTAATAGTTTTGCAACCACAACACAGGAATTAACACATTCAGAGCAACATGAACATTGTATATTTACTAAAAATGTATCACCAGTTGCACTAAAATCATACCGAACATCAGTAAAAGATGATCAGTATATTCAGCAGGAGATTCAAAATATGTTAGATCAAGGAATTATACGACCTTCTCAAAGTCAATGGAGCTCACCTGTAGTTCTTGTAAGGAAAAAGAATGGAAAAATGAGATTCTGCGTAGACTATAAAAAATTAAATAATGTAACAATAAAGGACCGATATCCCTTACCACGGATTGATGAATTATTAGAATTCTTAGGAGGAGCAATATGGTATACTACCTTAGACTTAGCTTCAGGATACTGGCAGTTTAAGGTCAGAGAACAGGATAAACCTAAAACAGCATTTATTACGAAACATGGGTTATATAAATTCAATGTAATGCCATTCGGGTTGTGCAATGCACTGGCTACCTTTCAACGAGCTATGGATGATATATTACGAAAAATAAAAGAAAAATTCGTATTAGTATACCTTGATGATATTATCATATTTTCTAAAAGTTATGACGAACATTTACAACATCTCCAACAGGTTTTCAATTTATTAAGAGAAGCTCAATTGAAAATAAATCCAGAGAAATGCCATTTCTGTACGAACAAAATTCAATTTTTGGGACATGTAATATCAGGACAA